GGGCGGCCGCCGCTGTGCAGGAAGCGCTCGGCTGGTGCGGGAAGCTTGCTCACTGCTGTCCGGCAGCCGTCCAGGCGTCCGCGGAATGCTGGTGCCCGGCTCACTCCGGGGGCAGCATGCGCGACAGGAGTAAAAGCTGGGGCAGGCTCTCTGGCCGGGGCGCAGGACTGCGCGAGGCCAGGGGTCAGCGCTCTGGGGCTGCGGCGCGCGGCTGCAGCGCGAAAGCGTCACGGCCGCTCCGTCCGGGCGCCCGCCGGCTCATGTCTCCTCCTCCGCGTCTCTCCGGCCGTGCGCATCGCCGCCTCCCACCACTGGCGGCGGCCGGGGCGTTTTCTACGCGCGGGCGGCGAGGGGGCGGGGGGCCGGGGGCGGGCCCGGGCCCGAGCCGGCACAATGAGGATGCGGGGCTCGGGGCTCCCCCCTCGGGGCGCGGCCGGACGGGCGCTCAGCTCGCCTGGGTGCGCCGCGCCCACATCAAAGGCGGCCCTGCCTGCTCGCCAGCCTGCCACGGCCTCTCCACCGCCGCCTCCTCCTTCTCCTGGTGTCTCCGGGTTGGAGGGGAGGTGCTCACTCTCCGCGACGGGACCCGCAGCTCCAAAGGGCAGAACCTAAGAGGCTGGAGTGGGTGAGCGCTGGAAGCCGTCGGAGCTTTGCACCTGGGCGCAGTGACCCGCGCCACAGCGCAAACGTTGGCCGAAATGAACAGAAAGCGGTTCCCAAGAACGCAGTTAGGTGCGGAGCGACCTCACTCACCCATGTTTGCTATTCACACTCACACCCACCAGCGTTGGAGTGGGGAACCGGGAGAGGGCGGGTCAGGCCCAGCCCCTAGCTCCACTTGAGGGACGCCTCTTTTATCCGCCAGGAGTCCACACAAGATATTGATTTTCCCAGCCACCCTCCCGGCGGAATGCCCACGCTAAGTGAGCCTTCTTCCTCTCTTCTTTCCCTGCCGCTGGAAGTGGGGAAGGCTCCGGGTCATCTCTCCCTTCTTCCTCCTCCAGGGCTCCGGGTCGGTTCTTGGGATCCCAACTGGGCTCTTGCGTTAGCGAGCTAGTTTTGGAAACACATGGCTACCACCTAGCGGCTCCAAGGCGTCACTACAACCCCAGCTTGTGAGGGATATATGCTTGGGAATAGCCAGCAGGACTCTGGTCAGCGACCACTCTAGGCCCTCTTCCAGCCTCCTCCCAACCGGGCTAAGATTTATTTCCATTTGTGTGCTATTAAGGAACTTGCCTCCTTTGGTAGGATCCTCAAAAGATTGGTTCCGCCGGTGCCCACTAACCGCAAAATCCTGTCCTTCCCATTCAAACCCCTTTTAGATTGCTGCCACCAAGCTCAAACTAGGACAGATAAAACAGGTCACAGTGGAAAAGAAACTAGAGAGCAAGCTCAAAATGAAGAACTCAGGAATTCGGACTATGTGGTTAAAAGCCTTCTGTCACCGGCTGTGGTTCAGAGTTCCACCCTCACTCAAGCATAATAAAGTAGGTAGGTACTGTCAAGCAGAGCTATTTTCAAGTCACAGATCCGATTATCAGTATTCTGTGTTCCAAATATCAAGCCTCCCTGCAAGTTATTTTAAGTTCCTATTCAGTGCTAAGGCTATATTCTAAACAGCCTTGGAGTCAAGTACAGAGAACCTTTACAAAACTAGGTAAAGTGACTGCAAAGTCTTTGCAAGAAGCTGCCGAACTGAATTTATGCAGACATTCTGCCAGAACTGGCCTTGAGAAGTTACTACTAAATGAAGATGAACAAACCCCAGATAGTTTGAAATGACCCACCAGATCTAGATGTAGTGGTGCATGACTATAATTCCAGCAATTCCTATAATTTCAGGTCAGCCTGGACAACTTAGGGAGACCCCATTTTAAAAAAGGGGCTGAGTGTGGGGCTCAGTGGTTAAGCATCCCTGGGTTTCATCTCCAGGGATGGGGAAAAAAAAAAAAACCCACCATCAACAGACATGGACAGAACTAGGCTTCAGAAGTTACTACTAACTTCCCAAGTTCTGGAAATGAACCAATCCCCAGATAGTCTGAAATGACCCACTGGACCTGAGCCATCGCCATCACCTTTGATCTTGCTTTATTAGAAAGAAAATATGAGTCAAGGCTTGGTTCTGGCCTCCCAAGACAGTGTTTAGTAACTCCTGGCTAAGATCATATTTCCATGCTGTTATACTACTACTATCTCTATTAATTTTTAATGGAAGGAATATATAACTATTGTTCCATCTAAAGGGTTCTGTGATCTTAACAATTTATCAATCTCCTCTACCACACAAGTAAGACTGACCAAGAAGTCCAGACACAGTTCTTAGTAGAAACATAGGCATAGGTCCTGGATTTGAATGTTGTTTCTCTCACTTCTAGCAAGTAATCCAAGACTGCTTCCTTTGTCTACAAAACACGACTCAGAACACTAAACTTCCATGGGGTCACAGAATTAAGAATGAAATTCATCTGGCATATACTAAAGCTCCAAATGTTTTAGCTGTTTTTTAACTAATAATTCTGGTTTTACATTGTCTTTCACATTATTTTCTTCACAATTCCTAATGAGGTAGTAAGATTATTCCCTAAAGTTGAAGCAGCATCTAACCAGAATCTTTTGACTACAATTTATTCATTTCACATTATTCCTTTTCTCCATTATTCTATGTCTTCAAACTGTTTCACAGGTATAAAGATACGCTAACAATAAACTACTCACCATATGTAAGTCTTAATTAATTCTATCTGAATTTGATGTGTTCACATAGCACTAATATATTCTACATATTTCTCCTCTGATTTTCCAAATCACAGCCTGCCAACCAGAACCCAGTACTAAGCAATAGTCCCAACTGTATGTAGTCCTAAATGCCAAATAGCTCCTTCCAAGTCTAAGAAAATGAACAAAATGAACCTGGAATATCTTCTCACACTAAAAAGCAAGTCAAACCTATAATTTGATTGCAGTTATCAAAGAGTCACCTCTTATATGTGGAGCTCTCAAGTAGGCACTCAGGGTACAGCAATGAATAATGGACTTAATGGAACCTAGTAACTAAGGCTAGTATGAATAGTCATCTATGTTGAGGCCTGTCTCCTGCCAACTCAGCGAGGTCTGTGATAGCAAAAGGTAGCTTCAGAAGGGTCAAAGGGGGCAATTTTAGCAACCAAAAGTGAATTGAAATACAAATAAATAAAAATCTCTATGTGGGACCTGGGGTTGTGGTTAAGTGGTAGAGCACTTGCCTAGCATGTGTGACGCACTGGGTTCAATCCTCAGCACTAGACAAAAATAAAGGTACTGTATCTATCTACACCTAAAACATTAAAAAACTTCTCTGTGGGATAAATCCACTGGTTCCTTTCAGAGACTTGACAATATAATTCACATAATTTCTTCAATAAAAGTAAGGATTTTGGCTTACTGATAACGCCAAAGAAAATGCCTGCAGAATTATAAATGGCATTGGCTAAAGACTAAGCCCATTAAGCATCTACATTCAGCAGACTGGCTAAAGGAAAATATACTTGTCCCCAAAGTACATAAAGTGATCTTCAGACCCTCTTGAACCAGTTTATCTACTTAGTGACAGAAAACAAAGGAAGAACAGTTGCTTCTTATTGGTCTTTATGGTAGAGACCTGCCTACAATGGGTACTCGAGCATGCACAAGGACACAAATTCATGATTCTCCACTATAAGTACCTTATAGTGCTTTTATAGACTATTAAATCCAAATGATAGGTATCACCTAATAGTTTTCACTATAGAAAGATTGTCAAAAGTAGGAAAATCTAGAAGGAAGTTAATTTTCAGATTGCCATCATACTCAGTTGGCTACCTAGTAGTACTAAAGGTGAGGAGATGGGAAAAATAGGCCTGCCTGGGCTTTCAAGGATGCATCGGATTCAATATAAAGAGGCACAAGAGGACAACCACCGAGGCCATTTGCTTTCTCTAAGAATGGCAGCAGTTCTTCTGGGCTTCCTGCCACAAGGGACTTTTAACTATACAAACTCAAGACACTAAAAAGTTCAGACCTACATTTTAAGACATTTTTTTAAAAATGGAGGCAGATAGCATGTGTGAGACACTGGGTTTGGTTCTCAGCACCACACATATCCATTGACAACTAAAAAATATTTTTTAAAAAAATGTAGGCAGGGCTGGGGATGTGGCTCAAGCAATAGCGCAATCGCCTGGCATGCATGCGGCCCGTGTTCCATCCTCAGCACCAGAAAGATGTTGTATCCACCGAAAACTAAACTAAAAAGTAAATACTAAAATTCTCTCTTCTTTCTCTCGCTCTCTTTAAAAAAAATGGAGGCAGAATTCCATCAACTCTATCCTGAATCACATACTACAAAGTGCCAGCACAAAGGAATGATTCTAAGTTTAATGTACTTCTTGGTACTCTCTACCTGTAGCACTTAATCTGTTAATATCAAGCTGGCTGATAAAAAAAATCATCTACTTTAAATTTCCCTTTATTTTTAAAGAGAGTGAGGGGAGAGAGAGAGAGGAGAGAATTTATTTTTTAGTTATTGGCGGACACAACATCTTTGTTTGTATGTGGTGCTGAGAATCGAACCCGGGCCGCACGCATGCCAGACGGGCGCGCTACCGCTTGAGCCACATCCCCAGCCCCTAAAGTGGATGATCTTGACAGCAACAGTCAACATGCACCTAAGTCCCAGCTACTTAGAAGCCTGAACCAGGAAGGAGTAAGCATGAGTTCCAGGCAAGCATAGGCAACAAAGCATATCCAGTCTCAAAAAAAATTATCTTTCAAACCCAAGATACAAATCCTCTTTAAAATGGCAATGTATTCCAGCAGACAGAAGGAAATGGTAAATACTGTCTTCTACAATAAGCAACACTGATGTCCTAGAATGAATAGGGAAGGAAACAACCATTTGATAAGAAACAGGGAATGGGTGAAGTTGGCTTTCATCAACCCTTTTTCTTGAAGATCACTTCAAAAATTACAACCTGCTCCCCCCAAAAATCTAGCTTTTGGTAACATCCAAAGAACCACCACTTGGGGAATTAAAAACACAAAGTTGGAAGACAAAAAATAGTCTTAAAAGTGTAAACAAAAAGGAATGAGGAAAAACATCCAAGAGAATCAAAGCCTAAGAATTGAAGTGGGACACTGCAATCTCCTCAGAAACTGGCCCAAAACCTAGACAAACAATTCTTCAGAAAAATCATCATAAACAAAACCACACTAGAATGGCAAGAGTTAAGGTGTATGCTTAAGTCAAAAAGAAAAATAGCCAATAAGGCAGCATTGAGTTTGATACCCTCCGTTCCCATGGTGTTGCATGCTACATACGGCACTGCTATGCAGTGTTTGCTTAGAGCTAAGCAATCAGAATAATGTCCACATGGCTTGGATCACCATACAACTGGCCTAAAGCAGAACAGTGAGTGTTGAGAATGTGCCCTGACAGCCTTATGTTATCACACGTGACAAATTAACTTTTCTTCCATTCATCCAAATGTTACGATTTTGAACAAACAGGAAAGTCACTTAAGTTATTTTGTTCAGACCTAGACCATAAAAGTCTGTTCTGGGTTGTTGCCACGTAAGAGATTTCCTCTGGGAGGCAAGGGTAGGTAGAAGGGTAGGTAGATAGAGTCTGATGAACTGTTTGGAAATATTAATAGTTGATTGTTAACTAATAGGATCTGGATGGGAAAGATCATTAAATACTCATGATGAAAAATTGGTTTACTATGGGGAAAACTATTTGGCAGAGTAGGCAGGGACTTTCCCATCAGATTTTAGGGTAGCATTGGACAGCTTTAATTATGGATATTTACTTCTTTGACAAAGTATAAAAAGGCTAAATAATAGAAAGAAACAGTGCTACTTTATTAAAATACTGAGTTTTATTTCACATGTATATTTTTGTCTCCCCACCATTTCCATGTCTGACCACCACTACTACTATGTCCTATCATAACATTCCATACATACTTAGAAACCAAGCAAAGGGTGGAGTTCCATCTTTAAAAACTAAACAGGCATTTTGGACAACACATTCTTGGCAATAGAACCTTGACAACATTTATCAAACACGGTAGGGAAAGTTCTCACTTTGCATTATAAAAAGGACAGCCAGATATCAACTGTTACAGAAATGAAATAAGACGGAAATTTTTAACAAACTGTTTAAACTATTTTCTTAAAGAGACTTCCTCCACTGCCAGAGATCTTGAATAGCCTGGAAAAAAAAAAAAGAACTGTGGTTAAAGAACCATAATACTTCACAGACATCAATAAATTAAACCATGTCTCTCTGCACAATTCAAAATCTATTTTTTATTCTACCACAAAAAAGGTTCACACTCCAGGTAATTGAGAGCTTAACTCCAAGTCAAATACTTTAATCATACCATTCAAACATCACTGGCTCAGAGATCAGAGTTAGCAAAGTTACATTTCTGTTACTTATCTAAAATAAACTAAATGATGATCTGAATCTCCTTAATAAGCTCTCTGCTTATAAAATTCCTTAGTTCTAGGACATGCTCTATTTTATGTATTAATAGTTTCTACAGTGTTGACATTCAAAATCTTGCCCAGTGAAAATGCAACTGGTATCAGACTTGTTTTTTAACTGATTTGAAGCACCGGATGCCATCTATGACAACACTTAAATCTAAGAACCAAAATGTTTTTGTTTTTGTTTTGTTTTTAAGAGAAAGAGAATTTTTTAAATATTTTTTAGTTTTCGGTGGACACAACATTTTTATTTTATCTTTATGTGGTGCTGAGGATGGAACCCACGCCCCATGCATGCCAGGGGCTACCGCTTGAGCCACATCCCCAGCCCACCAAAATATTTTTGAGTGCTGACACAAAGCTCAAATAGTTTCAAACATTTGACTTGTGGATTAGGGATGCTCAAATGATTCTAAGACTTTTAAAGCCAACAATATAAAAGCACCTTCTCCTCCAAATCAGAATTTGCAATACTTCTGATCCCAAGCATTTCAAATAAGAGATGTTCAACCAGTTAACAGTAAATCAAGCTATAATATTTATCATTTACTAGTACTCAATACTCAAACAACTTCTTCCTGGCACTCAAAAACATGCTTTGAAGTTTTAGTCAGAAAATACTTCTGGGTAGCAATGAACTACCAGCAAAACTCTCATACAGGGTATGAAAGACAAGTGCCACTTCAGTTGTCTTGACATCTTCACTTGAATTTTTCCCCCAATTAGGGGGCACTGAACTCAGAAGGTGCCCTATCACTGAGCTACATCCCCAGCCCTTTTTAATTTTTAAGATATGGTTTTGGGCTGGGGATGTGGCTCAAGCAGTAGCGTGCTCGCCTGGCATGCATGCCACCCGGGTTTGATCCTCAGCACCGCATACAAATAAAGACGTTGTGTCCGCTGTAAACTAAAACAAATAAACATTAAAATTAAAAAAAGATATGCTATTGCTAAATTGCCTAGGCCGGCCTCAAACTCACAATCCTCCTATCTCCTCAAGAACAGCTGGGGTTACAGGCATATACCACCATTCCCAAGGTGGATTTTTCTTAATTAAAAAAAAATCTCATTTTATTTACCAATCATAAAAAAAAAGCCTTTGGTACACATCAGTTTGTATCAAACTTTCCTCCATGCTGAATATATAATAGAAGTCCTGATAAATATCACTGAACAGGATCTATTCTCTACATAGAGAAAACCTAGCAACTACTACTACTTTACATTTTCCTTTCAGTTAACTGAAAATAAGAATGAAAGGGCTGAGGCCTTGGATTCCTCCACAGCACAGCAAAAATACAATAACTTTCTTGTAATAATAAAGTACTTTCATGGGCTAGGGATTTAGCTCAGTTGGTAGCGTGCTTGCCTTGCATGCACAAGGCCTCTGGGTTCAATCCCCAGCACCACATACACAAAAACCAGCAAATCTTACAGTATGTGGTCATTTGCTTTCTTGGGAGTTAGTATCCTTCTGAGATGCTAAACATGAGAAGACCATTTTGCTAAAGTCAATCTAAAGGGTGAAATTTAGAAGCAAGAAGTTTATTACTCTGTATTCACTTTAGTTCAGTGTTAATAGAAAAAAAGTTCTCAGTTTCTGCCAACCAAATTCTTGTGTTTCCATGTATTTAAGTATTGTCTGTGGTTAGGAAACTTTTAAGTAGCCAACACTTCAAGAGATTAAAAGGATAATCATAATAAACCAATGAAAAACATTGGATTTGGTCATATCCCCAGAAAATTCAGTTACCTCCTGGTCAGTCATCCGGAAGCAATTCTTCACATAATTGACGAACTTGGCTTCCACTTTGGGAAGAGAACCACCCTATTGAGAAAAAAGCATTGAGAATAAGAATAGAAATATATTCTTTAGAGGTCTTTAGGAAATTCCTCTAAGATCTGTGCTTTTACATGTTATCAGTCATTTCTTATCCCTTCAAACATTTTCATTTTTAAAATATTGTTATTTTTAGGCCCAGAAAAACATTAGAGACTTCAGGTTTGCTGTAGGTTCAAGTTCAGAACAGTCACTCTTAGGTATGGAGACACAAGCCACATTGTATGCAAATACGGCAACTGGGCTGCCTGTCCATATTATAACAAAGCAGTTATATTACTCTCTTCATCCTGAACCAAATACAAAGTAAATATATGCCCCCTCCCTTGAGAACATTGTCCCAAGTGGCCAAAGCCGTATAAAAAACAGTTAACATTTGTACACCAACATTGTACACCAATATTCAAGCTGAATGGGGATGAAATTCTAACTATAACCTCTGGCACTTCTTTCCAATTATGAACATGAGCAAGAAACTATCAATATCAGCAATGTCTAAAACTTTTGTCATCAAAATTCATAAGACATTATTATTGAATACCTGAAAATTTTATAATTATCATTTACTACATCATACATTTTTCCCTATTTTAAGTTAACTGGTTTTCCTTATCCTAGCTAGGTATATTAATGCAAGTTAGTAAGATTGAGAAGCTTCCAAATGCCAAAGGGACTATGCCAGAATCAGCTACAAATAGTAAGATATTTAACTGCCTCTTATCACCTAGATAAATAAAACCTCCCTATAATAAGTTCCCTTTCAAAATTATTGTCACATACATCCTTATTTGATTCATTTAAATATTTATTGAGCAGCTAAGGAGATACAAAGGTGATTAAAACATGGTCCAAGAGAAGATGAGGCATATGCACAAGAGAGCAATATATAAGGTTCAACTGAATTCACAGCAGTCAAAAGTGCTTTAGGAAATCAAGAGATTGCTTCCAGCCTGCAAGTGGGTGTGGGTGGCAAATCAGGAAAGGGGATTGAGATTAAAATAGAAGACTTCAGCCTGGATTGTTGATGATACTCAGTATGGACTATATTTGTCTCTCCTTTTCCTTTCTCCCCATCTTTGGGCTTAATTTACCAGTAGTGCCCAGGGCTGTTCAATGTGCCTGCAATTAAACCAAGGAGATAGGACCACATTAAAATGGAGGGGAGGGGCATCATTTTAGCACTGTATGCAAGGGATAAAAATAAGTCAGTGACACCAGGAAGGCTAAAAGGTTACAGTGTGACTAAAACAAAACAATACATTCTGGTGCTACAATGCTAATTTCCAATCCACTCATCACTGCATAAGGGAATCTGAAGCCAGGTACAGCCTACAGAGCACAGGAGAAACATGGGGAAAGAGGTGCCAATAATTCCTCCTCTCCACCCACATGTATGCTCAAAAACTGGAGTCTAGATATATCATTCTTAGAATTAAAAGATTGTCTCAAATGTTTTTCCTTGACACTTAAACCAATTATTCCCTACAACAAAAATCCTCACTACAGTGTCAGTCCCCAGTCAAGCAGCAAGACAAAAAAATTAACACTCTTCTCATGTTTCTATTATTTAGAACAAAAGGGAGACCACATGTAAGCCCAATAGATACTCAAATTTTGGACATTACCCACGTATACTGGCTGGGAATGTCTTGGTATGAAGGGAAAAAAGAAATGACTCAATTTATTAGAAAAATGTTTGAGTCAAATATGTACTATCAAACTATTAGCACCAAGCAGGCAAAATTAAAGTCTCTACTTTTGCAGCTATTTACATCTGTATTTAAGATTCCTATGCCCTCTGCTGGCTATTCAGCATAACATAACCAGAAGTACACAATATTCTGATTTCATTTTAACTGGTTAAAATCAAAAATGCAGCTCACAAAAAAAATGGGCCTGTTGGCTTTTTAAAGTGGAAAATTCAAGCCAGCTGCAGTGGTGCACACCTGTAATTCCAGTGACTCAGGAGGCTGAGGCAGGATTCCAAGTTGGAAGCTATCCTCAACAATACGGTAACACCCCATATCTCCAACTATAACATGAAGAGCTGGGGTTGTAGTTCAGTATAGAGTGCTTGCCTAGCATGGCGTGAGGCACCGGGTTCAATCCTCAGCGTCATATAAAAATAAAGAAAAAATTTAAAAAACTGAAAAGGGGCTGGGGATGTGGCTCAGTGCCCCATGAGTGAATCACAATACAGAAAAAATGCTCAAAGCACAAAAGGGGTGGGTATATTAAAATGATAAAAAGGAACAGTTTGTCCAAACCCTCAGACTTTTTGGGGGGGTTGGGGAGGGGACTAAGGAGTAAACCCAGGTAAAGTTACCACTGAGCTACATCCCTAGCCATTTTCCTTTTGAGAGAGGATCTCAGTTAAGTTGCTGTGTCTGGCCTTCAACTTGGTGATGTCATGCCTCACAGGTATGTGCCACCACTCCCAGCCATAAGCCATGATTTGAGATGCCAAAAGATCATTTTACTCACTTTTTCTATACTTGCTTGCATTTTTGCTTTAATGTCTTCTACAGAACTAGGTCCTTTTGGTGTTTTAGGAGTTTTTTCCTGTTTTTTGAAGGATTCTTGACCCTGTTGAAAAAGTTCAATTTCAAATGATCATAAAAGTGCAGCATTTAACTAAAACCCACTTTCTGGATTTCCTTATTCTTATAATCCTTATAAAGGCAAGTATACAATAGAACTGCTGTTTTAGTACATGCCATACACTTATTTTACTGAAGTCATTCCTTTAAGCAAGAAATACCTTATAATGGTATTAAACAGGAACATTTAAATAATAAGATTACCAAGAATGAAGCAAGGTTGTTCATGCACCCTGACTCCTAGAGCCCACCCCAAGGGACTCCATAGTAGGGCACAATTACTAGGGTTCTTTAAAACTCCGTATTAGATTCTAACATGCATTCAGGGTTGAGTGTCTCTGCTCTGGGCAAATAAATACAACCTTACATATAAATGAATTATAGGAAATAGTTTATATCATAAATCTTTCCATTGGCCTTCTCTCCCACTGGAAAGCCAGCAGCCTCCTATCTTAGAGTATATCTTAAGAGTATCCAGAAAAATGAGCACATTTTAGTTATCACTGTTCTCGAAAACACCTACCAAATTCCTAACAGACCAGATTGTCCACTGAACAATTTCTGAACTGCTTTCCCAACCACTTCATTGAAGTAGGCCTACTTTTAAGTGTATGTTGTCACTTACTTTTGATCTTGGTGTTGTTGGTTTTGAGTCTTTTCCATTCTGGTTCGATTTTTGTGCATTTTTGGCTGGAGTATCTCGTATAGACTGCAATTGGAAATTAATCAGTGTCACCCTCTCTGCACAGTAGACAGGCCAATACAAATAAAATATCCCACATCATGCTTTTAAAAAAAAGCAGCCTTTTAACAAAAAGGTTGCAAAGGGTTAATGAACTGTTGGCCACAAAACCATCCATTTCTCACTGTTTAAATTTTAGAGTCAGATGTGTTGCGCATATTTTTAACGTCAGCAACTTGGGAGGCTAAGACATGAGAATAGCAAGCTTGAAGCCAACCTGAGAAACCTAAGGAGACCCTGTCTCAAAATCAAAGGCTAGAGATGCAGTTCTGGTAATGCACAGGCCTGGGGTTCAATCCCAAGTACTGGGGGTGGGGGAGTTCAGCAAAGTTATGACTCAGAACCAATTTCAAGTATGAGATCACTTCAAGCCAGTTTTCATTAGCTACAAAACAAGTGAATAGCATTTTTTAAAAAACCCATCATTTTTGTAGGAGATCTGATAACTTTCTACCATTTTATCTACTCACTTTCTTCACTGGAGCTTTTTCTTCAGTTTCCTCATCATCAAAATCATCATCATCATCACTACAAACAAAATAAGCCAAGATATGAAGAACTTTCAAAATCTTTGGGAGAAGTGATGTAAGAACTAAAAAAGCAAGATCTAAGATCTGAGAAAACAGTTCACTCCAGCTTTGTTCCTAATGGTCAAGAAGTAGAAGCATCCATAGCGGTTGAATAGGTAGGTAAGAAGATATGTCTATACACGCAATGGAATGTTATCAGTCTTTTTAAAAAAAATCCTGTCACATGCTACAGCATGAATAACCATTGAAGACATGTTAAGTAAACAAGCTGATCAAAGGGTAATCACTGTTATTTATAATAAAAAAGTATAACCGTTGTTCCCAAGGGATGGGAATTGCTGGCTTATTCAACAGAATATTTGAATAAGGGCAGACTGTAATATCAATCAAATGGCAACAGTTTCCAATTATACAGACTCAATATGTATTAAGTTCTAAGAACTCCAGTTGGCTTATTTTGTCAAAATTTATCCCAAAATTCATAGAAAATATAATTAAAGTACCAAAAAATTCTCAAAAAAAAAAGCTCAAGGACTCACATTTGGTGATTTTCAAACAATAGTTAAGACTTGAGTATGTAAGAGCTAAAACTATAAAACTCAGAACAGAAACATTTTCATTATAGTGGCTTTGGCCATGGTATCAGTTTTGGCAGTCACAAATGAAAATAGACTGTTGTGCATTGGCTACCATCAAGAATAGTCAACCCTCAGAATGGGACAAATGTTTTCAATGGCAAAGACATTTAATTTCATCAAATACATACAAATGGTCAATAAATAAATGACCATCAAGAAAAAGCAAACCAAACCCATTCATACCACAATGACTACATGCAAAAATAATGTCAAGTGTTAGAATATGGACAAATTAGAAGCCCTATAAACTTGAAAACAGTTTGGCAATTTCAAGGTAATCCTAGAATTTACAGGACCTAGTTCAAAGTGTGTATCCAAGAAAACAAAAAAATGTGTCCACTGATATTCACAGCAGACAAACAGTGAAACAACCTAAATATGCATTCTGATGAATGTCTAAAAAAAAACAATGGATAAAGCCTACCCATACAATGTATTACTCAGACAGAAAGTTACAACCAATACATGCTTCACAGATCAATTTGAAAATTGGGGACTGCCTAAAATTGCAATATTCTGATAAATACATTCTCAGTTGTTTTCAACCTTGCCCAAACTAAGACTGATGTCACTAGGCAATCTTACAGGACCTTTGTACAAGAATGCTGTCATTGAATGTTTTGCAGCACATGACTTGTTAACTATAGTTATCTATATATAATATGCAGGGGACTGGTTCCAGGACCACCTCAGATACCAAAATCCAGGGATTTGAAGTCCATTCTATAATGACATGGTATTTTCATGTCATCTGTGAACATCCTCCAACATAATTTTTTGGAAGGACTGCTTGGAATCAACTCCAATGCTTTAAACACTCCAATTACTTATAATACCTAGTATTAATATGGGCAAGGGTAGTTAAGAGTATATCCTTACCAAGTGTATTGGATTTAATCTCCAGCACAAAATTATACTGTATGTAATGCTTCAGTAACAACAAAGAAAAAAGTCTATGTACAGGGGCTGGGGTTGTGGCTCAGTGGCAAAGCACTTGCCTGGCACATGTGAGGGGTTGGGTTCGGTCCTCAGCACCACATAAAAATAAATAAACCAAATAAAGATATTGCATCCCATCTATAACCAAAAAATATTTTTTTAAAAAAGTCTATGTACATGTTCCATAAAGAAGCAATTTTTTTCCTGAGTAATTTTGATCCAAACTCAGATGCAGAGAGTTTCCCAACTGCACATGCAAATAAATTTAAAGAGGATGTTAAGGAGAAACTTTCCTGCTTACATATATCAAGGGCTCATACTATAGCCTTTCCATCCTCAAACCAGGACCACAGATTTCCATTTTAGTTTTAAGAATTCTGGGACTATGGCTGAGTACCGTGGTACACACCTATAGTCCCAGCCACTCAGAAGGCTGAGGTGGGAGGTTCAAAAGTTTAAAGCAAGCCTCAGCAGCTCAGCAAGCCCTGTCTCTAGGTAAAATATAAAAAAAGGTGATAGAATGTCGGTCAGTGGTTAAATGTGCCTGGGTCCAATCCAAAATAATAAAAAAAAAAAAACACCATTGGGACTTCAGTTTAGATTTCCAAAGTTAACTAACTACCTTTGGTCATCATCTTTACATTCTCATTACCATGTCAGGTGGTTACCATCACTAGTAGAAACTTGTTCCCAGGATATCTATTAACTATCTCTAATATGCACACTTTCCTTATTAGCTTGAATTAGGCCTTGTCATCTACACACTAGTTCGCCATCATACCCAATATTAGATCCGGAAGAGCACAAAAGTGAATTATTAATCATGGTTACATTATTCATTATATGCATTCTAAAAGAGAAAAGTTTCACAAGTCCCAACAGAATCAGGATTCCAACAGGTCCTACTCCAAAGCCTTCCTGAAAGGGACTGTTTTAGTAAATATGCTATTGGGTACTCAGAAATCTATACAAAGGTGTACACCACATTAAATCTCTCTTGGGGTGTATTTTAAGTCTACTGGTAAATATTCCTAAAATAGCAGAAATCAAACATACAGCTCATTTCTGGGTACAATAAGCAGGTATTCTGAAGCAATTTTTTCAGCTTTTTTCATTCTCTCCCTTCATTGACATGTTCTGAGAGTTAATTCCCCATCCTCAGTATAATCAGTTTGGCTATAAGGTTGCCAAAAGTCACTGATATTCTCAAGTAAGACCAGTGAAGACTTTATTCCATAGTGGACATGTAACTGTTTATAACCATAGCAAATAAGCAGAATCCTGTTTCTAGCCATATTTTAAATTCAAGAAAATTTTAATGTCACTTTTAGAATCTTATTCTGTACATTAGGAAAAAAAGAACTACAGGCCAAAGTCCTTTATAAAGAAGCTTTAGATGTCTTATTAAATGAATTTAACCAGAGCTATTTCATCAGATCCTGCTCTTTCACCCAAATCACATTGTTATTTAGCAAAGAATACATCAGCCTTAATATGGGGTCCAATGAATTTTCATCAGGAGAAAGCTGCCTCCCGTCAAATGAGAAATGCTACAAACACTAGCCTTCTAAAGAGTTAGTGCACAGCTGTATTTTACTGGGAAATAATATCAGTATTAACTCCACTCATTAACTCAAACTCAGTCAAGCACTTCCCCCTTTTAATTTAATGATAAATTATTAACTAAAAAATGACAGGTAACTTTAATAATCCCTTCCATAAACACAACCATGATGAGTTTCCATGAGTGTACTACTTACTCTTCATCATCATCATCATCATCTTCATCATCATCGACATCTTCATCAGCAGCAAGTTTTACTTTTTTCTTAAAGAAAAATATATACTCATGAGCAAAAGCTGGTTATCACCACACCCAAGGCTCTAATACAATTATAGTACAACCATGCCCCTACCTGGGGAACCTTGCTACCACCTCCAGGGGCAGATCGCTTTCCAGATACACTTAAGAGTTTCACATCCTCCTCCTCTTCATCTTCTGACTCTGCATCTTCCTCCACAGCTA